CCTTATTCCCCTACCCCCACGCCCCGGTCGTGGAGAAAAGGCACAATTCGTCGGGCAGATAGGAAGTATTTGTATTTTCTGAATAGTAATAGATTCTAAAATCGATTATAAGCATTGAACCACTTTCAAAAGTTTTTTAGCGACGTCCGACCACGCCCACTTTGTTCTCGTCGAGGACATCAGCCGCTCCCCCCCCCCCCCCCGTCCCCCCCCCCCCACCGTCCGGGACCTTGGACCTCCCGTCCGTGAAATCCGCCATTGTTCCATGGGTAGGCCTACAAAGCAGTAGGCGTACATGTATTTTTTAAGCCCGGGCTCTAGGCCTTACCTATAGACATCACCCCCTGCCCTTCCACAAACCATCCCCAAGATAGTTCTACTGTTATTGAAATCCATGATAACGTCATCCAGACAGGCAGTAAACATCTTCATCAACAACATCATCTGCACAAATTCTACATCATTATTATTTAAAGATATTCTGCCATTTAATTTTGATATTTTAAAATTTGACAAGTATTCCGTTATATTTATATTTCAATATGTTATTAGGCTTAAATTCTTTACCATTTTATTATTAATTCTTTGTGTATTATGCTCTCGCAGTTTTTGAAGTAAAACTTTTGTAAGTCGTTTAAAATCTATTTCTTTATCTGTCTTACAGAAAGTTGATAACTTTATTAATGAGCAAACATTTAAAAACATATATTTTTGAGCATTTTCTCCTTACCTTAGTTAGTAGTACTGTATAACTATAATGGTAGAATACGATACAATTCGAAATTCCTTGTCATTTCAACAACATGGCAAAAATAGGCATAATACATAATACGTTCAATTCAGAATAAGAGACAGCCTAATACTAGACGACAAATAAAACAATCATTGCTTCTATTATCATAAAATTGATAAAAGCTATAACTATTATTTCTGTCTCTTATACACATCTAGATGTGTATAAGAGACAGGTCCAAAGGGGGAGGGGGAGGGGGAGATCAAGGTTACAATATCCTTAGGGGTCCGGGGGAATGCCCCCGCGAAATTTCTGTGTTCTAGACGCCCGAAAATAACCTCCGAGGCCTTTTGGGCGATATTTTTTTCTTTTTCTTTTTACTTTCCAAAAGTGGGGTGGGGCAAGGTCCCCCTGTATATCCGCAATTGGTGGGTGGGGGTCTCAGTATCAAGAAGAGACCACCATGACCCAATAGCTGAAAAGAAAAGGGAACAGTGCTGTCCTGAGGATGAAATACAACCAGAAACTAACACAAAGGTGACGGGGTGGCGCCAGGATTTGCCCGACGGGGAGGGGGGCCGAGGTCCCGACGTGGGGAGGGGGGAGGAAAGATGGAAGATGCCCCGACGAGGGGTCAGATTTTCCCGACGAAAGAAAACATGGTCGAGCTTCGATTAAAAGGTTTCAAAAGTTGTGGGGGAGGGGGAGAAGCCCCCGAAAATTTTGACAAATTTAGGTGTTTCAAAGGCTTATTTAATCGATTTTAGAGTCTCTGCCCGACGGGGGCCTGCCCCCTCCCCCTCGCAGTGACATGTAAATTAATTTGAATTAATTGAATTAAAAAGTAGGGCACCCCAATTCTTGTACTGCCAGGCTAAAAATAATAAAAACATTTCTAGTGACTGGAAGTATTTCTATCACTTTTTGCCGTATATGGGTAAACTTTTTTAAAAAAAATACACTATACAATATACTTCTGTAACTAAATTTGTAACTTTTATGTTACTTCAAAATGAACAATTTCAAAAATCGTTTATTTTAAATAATTTTTGTTTGTCTGTTTTTTTTTCATGGGACAATACATCTTTAAGTTATCAAATTCCATTAGACACAAAGTTTACAGACAGAATTTACCTAAAAAAAAATTTTCTATGATGTTTTCAAACCCAGAAATCTAATTTCCAAACCAAACATTTAAAGGTCATGATATTTTGCTGACAGTAAACAATCAAATGTAATTAAGAACAATAACAAAACAATCAAACAGAATTTTGAGTCAATTATTTTATTTGAAAATCAGTAAATTGGATACAAGCAAGTTAAGTTTACTGATGTGAACAACATCTGATTGCATTGAAGTACCCGCCGCTACTTGGGGATCAGGTTCAACACTACCCAATTAAGTGCAAGCTTGGTGACCTAGTGGTTAAGACACCAGGCTTATTATCAGGTCGTGGGTTCGGTTCCCACAAGAATCATTAGTAAGATTTTTTTCGCAAGTATTTGGGAACGTACTGAGCACCCAGTACGATAACACAACAACATTCCTATTATTAAATGAGGTTATTTGGTTCAGAAACCTTCAAGTACAAATGTAATACTGTACTGTAATTATTTTTTAATACCTGTACTGATAACACTAATGCAATACACAAGCACACTGTTCCTTGTGAGAGCAACACCTAATACTAGACGACAAATAAAACAATCATTGCTTCTATTATCATAAAATTGATAAAAGCTATAACTATTATTTCAAACACCTGAAAGACCTTAAATGCTATTCTTGAAAAATATACATTGGCAAAATTAAAAAATTACATCATTTAAAATTTGTTGACTTTCATTATTGTTGTTTTTACTGTATATTATAAGATAAACTTTTTGTCCAGTAATCAACCTGTACAGTAATTTGTTTTTCTGTGGCAAGACATATAAACACAAAACAAAGTTATAATACTTTTGATATTAAATTAATATTACTTTAAAAATCAATTATTTAAATACACACACAAGAGAAATGGTAAATTAGGGGATAATTGGACTTTGGTCGAGAGCAGTCCTTGACTTTGGAAGTTGTCTGTCTCATGCAGTGTCCTTAAGTAAGATTATGTCGCCCTTGCGATTTGTCTCGACTCCACTACGATCAACGAGTTTGCTGGTAGTGCTCGTGTCAACCTGTCACTTTCAACTGTGCAACTGCAAGCAAGTGGATAGTTGTGTAGAGTGATTATGTCACTTCTGACTGGAGTATTTACAGCCAGTTGCTCCCAGAATTGGATACAAATTTCAGCGTGCGCGCCACACACGGTTAATGACTAGCTAACGGCCACATAAGCATTCAATCGTTTGTCAGTTGCTTTAGATCGCAGCGAAATAGAAGATGGGCAACTAAGAGGCACTGATTTTCATTTCTTACGACCACAAGGACTACTCACGTCACAATTCAAATTTTGCGACTCGGTTTCTCACCAGTTGCCAGGCTGTTGTCAAAGGTCAGTTGAGTTACGTTACAAGGTCAGCATAATCTTAGCTTAAGAGTAACTCGATAGTTAGTAAATTGGTACTTATTGTAAAATAATATTTGTGCATTTTAGAAAAATTTCAGAAAATACATGCTTAAAATGATTCAAATAAAACAACTGAAAAATAAGTTTAATGCTCACAGAATTCCATTCAGTATTCTTAACTGAACAAAGATAAAAATGTTTTCCATTACCCCAACATATAGCAAATTTTCTTCTCTATTAGAAGCTTTGGTCAATCAATTGGCCAATCAATCAATCAATCAATCAATCAATCAATCAATCAATCAAATAATCATACACTAGCATAAATATTGTGACAAATTCAATAACATTTTGTAAAAACTTGTGCATAAGACAAAAATTAATTTTCCCACCATTTTAAACTTTTGTTTTTACATACAAAACTATCCCTATCTTTAAGTTATTGCATCTATTTGTTGATAGCCTATGAATGTAAAGACTACAAAAAAAATTCTATAGCATAAATACTATTTTCCAAATCAGACACTTAACAACTAAAGCTCTGTCGATAGTATAAACTTATATTTGACAAAAACCATGTGACACACCTGAATATGGTTGTGGTGACATCACAGATTTTTGTCTAAACTAAGAGTAACTACATTGTGCATGTATGGGAATCTCTCATTTCTACTGCAGTTCTACTTACAACTGCTGCATTCATAATACAATAAAATTCATACATTATCTACTTTTTTTGACTTATCGTTTTTGGTATCAATTAAAATAGTTAAATAATATTCAAAATAATACTGTTTGATCAGTTGTTCTTGTGAATTACTAAGTATATTCAACAATTCTTATATTGTTACTTTACTTTATGCTACTGGTAGAAGTAAAGCTTAGCTTACGCTAGAGGAATTTACACTTGTTATGCTAATGGCAAAAATGCTACTACACCTATGCCAGTCACTGCTGGTAATTTTCAATGTGAACCATAGGCGAGTCAAATTGCTGAGTGGTTAGCAGGGGGATACAACCTACAGCCATAATATCGGTGCTGGTACAAATAGCACGCTCGCCTATGGTTCTGATAGTAGAACAAATCTTCTCGGGTAAGGACTATAAACCGTGGGGCCCAGTGTACGCAATGGCTTGTGTGCAGTACAATGAACCCAGTACTTTATTCAAGACGAGTAGGGAGATACCCCGGTGTTCTGGTACAGACAGCCCCTGTAGTGGACGACGAGAGTTACTGGTACCGGCTTACCAGGTAGCACAGACTCAAAGGGACCCTCGGGGGAGAAGAAAGTCATTGATCGACTTCCTAGTCCACATATCAAAGTGCCTTGTATCCTTGGCAAAAGGCAGCGCTATATAAATTGCTATATTATTTATTATTATTATTATTATTATTTTTCAAATTAGGTTTGCTGTTCCCTATAGCAGTAGCCTATACTGGTTGCTAATTATATAGTAGTCACATTGCTAACAGCTTATCGATCTTAACGTGCATACCACATATTATGTAGTATGCAGATTAGTCTAGCATGTAATCTTTTTGTAGATGAAGCTAGTGCGGAGACTAGACGTATACTGGCAGTGTTACCCGTAGTACGAAGACGTATGTATAATGTAGTCTGACACAAAAACGGCCTTTTTACCACACACTTATGAAGTTAACGTTGCTTAAACGGATTCAGAGAGCCATATTTGTTAAATAGCATTGATTGAATTGGTTAACTAGCTGGACAGTGGTCCCGGCCATCCTCTGCTGTGAGGCAAGCACATGAGGCATGTACCGCAGCTACAACTACTGTGCTAAAGAGCTTTCATGCTGTTATCTAGCATGCACACAAAAGGAGACTGAAATAAGGGAGCTTTTGATTTAAGTGACAATGTGATCCTGAAACAGATTCACTCATCCTTGACTGTCCTCAGTTCTCTGCAAAAACATGGATTCGGGCCAAACTGCATCTTAGAATTCAAAGACAACCTAGCCTCCTTACAAAGGACTAAGTGAAGTTTTGAACTTCGACCAAATGTCAGAAATTTAACTGCATCATTTACTAAAGTTGATGCTGAGGGCAGCAGAGCACATAGCTGATTATACATTAGATTATACACGGTAGAAATTAAGTTTGCAATACATTTCTGATTCTTTATGAGCTTACCACAAAGAGTATATCATTAAGTAGGTGTTAACCTAGCTTCTGAAACATGACACAATGAGTTGGTCAATGCCATCACGCAATAATCCTTGAACTGCGTAGAATACACAAACCACCAAGAAAAACCACCGCGCTAATGAATATGCATACAAGAAATATAACGATACCAGGAGGAACACCAACCAATAGACTAAGGATAAGTATAGAAAAATAGGATTGGAACGCTGTCTGCATGATTTCCCTTCGAGAGGCGTGTCACCGCCAGGGGAATCTACGCATGTGTCGTTAACAAACTTTCTGTCGTCTTCATAGAACTTTCTGAGCGTTTCTTCTTTTTCCATCCAGCGTTGTAAGCACCATTCCTGGATATCTTTGTCAGTGGTGGGTAAGGATGAAATTGGGTATCGCCGGATCTTGGTGTGAACTTCCCCAGGGAAGCGACCGTTGAGAATGTCCACCTCTCCGTTAATAGGAATGCCTTCTGGATAGCCCATGTTGACATCATACACTGCATCAATCATGTCACCTAAAGTAACAATAAAAAACATACACAAGTGAGTATTCCGTCACGGTCAAAAGTAAAAAAAATATTTGGCCCTTTTCAAATGAGCAATTGAAAATATATTGTTTGAATATTTTGCGGTTTTTTCCAAGAATTCATTACAGACAGTAAATTTTTAAATTGAACTTGCATTTTATAAGATGTTGCACAATATAATTAAAGCCGGTTGTACGCGGGTGTAGTACGTAGTCATAGATTAGAAGGTCATTCTTCTTGGCATAACGGTCACTAGCTGGCTTTGAATCTTTACAGTAGTCGGTTCCTTAAAGAAGAAAAAAAACCCAAAGTAAATTGTAACAGAGTTTATAGCTTTTGTCAATATATAGCATTAAATTAGCTTTCAGAAGTGTTTTAGATATATATTACAAGACAGATTAACTTAAAATGTGTTTTTCAAGTACCTCTTAATACCGAAAGTTAAAAAATATACAATATCACATTATCGTTTATAAATTAACTATAGGTAAAACACATATTTTACTCTAATAAACCGAAAGGTCCACTGATTAATCTCAGATAAGATAGTATAATACATACTCCAAGTATTGAAATGCATGCCATCGTGTCGGGATTCAATATTTCGACATTAATTATGTCATCATCAGGAATGATGACATACTATATGTATGTAAAACAACAACAAGAAAGCACATCTTAGGGGCCACAAGTTGGGAGTGTGATTTCCGGGAGAACTATTTCAATGACCTTTCTTTACGCATCTTATTGTATTTGGCTGTGCAGCAGTATACACATGGCTACCTAACTTTAGGGAGACAATTAACACCACTGTAGTAATAACGTGCAAACATCATTCATTTTGTGGGAGATGTAACAATTTCTGGGCGATGCTTGCTTGGATTGGATTGGATTTATTCGGTGTAAATGCAAAGGATAACCAACGAAACTCTGAGTACTGATTTCCTGTGGGGTCCATCTAGTGGCGATTGGGCAGTACACAGGGAGACAATCCCTTACTCTTCAACATGCACATGGCCCATTGCATACAGGACTAATAGCTTAACCGGAAGACCGTGCACTACTAAAAATTTGCATTTCAGCCCTCCCGCTGAAACAGGAGGAGAGCAGCGGCGATGGGAATCGGGAACCAAGGGATCTCCACGGTTCAGCGCACACACAGTGACTTCCACCAGTTTAGCCGCCTGGGATAAGATGCCCTCTAAGCTACCCTCTTACTTGCAAGAGAGCAGGACTTTTTTTCAGGAGAATTAAGTTACAAGACTTAATTACACCTCCCTACTCTCACCCATAATGCACAATTCTCACATATGAGCATACATTTTTTTTTATGTGTCACGCCTACGTTGTATTATCTCACACATCATAAACATTTTTATAAAAGATATACATTAAAATATGAATACAGGCCATATAAGTTTCTTTTAAATAAGCTATACTGACTAAGCACTCTATAGCAGTTCCACTACAATTAAAAAAAAAAAAAAAATAGCATACAGGGTGTGATTATTACATAGAGGGTGCCTTTAAACTTTTTTTTTTCTTGTGTATCAGACACCAACAAAATTGGCAGGTATACTTCATCCAAATCCAAATACAGAAATTTTGCATCTAGGTTGTGAAATCTTACCTTCAGGAAAAAGAAGTATTTGAGGAGTGTATTTTAGTTGACAGTAGTAATCCAAAGCTTCTTTCAACACAGTTTCATCTTTTTGCCAGTTTCGAGTTAAAAATATGAACCCTGCCACCTGCATTGCCCATCCTAATACATAAGCAAATGATATGTTAAATAATCAAAAACGAGATAAATTTCTCCAAAATTAGTTCTATATGATATTTAAGAGGCTGGGCAAAGTGTGGCCCAACGGCCATGTCTGGCCTGGCAACAATTTTTTTTCACGGCTTGCGAAAATAAATGAAAAAAACTATATGTGCAGCCCATGCTGTGGAACTGACATTTTGCAGTGGAAAGTATTTTAACATCTTTTCAATTATCAAGGCCTTTTTTCATTTCTGGTTTCTGATTTTATTATCCAACTCGTTGCAAACTAAATTGAATTGTGAGGAGGTTTACATAAGCAAAAACAGAGACTTAACAACTATCACAACAAAATTAAGCCAAAAAATTCATTAGAAAAACACCAAAATGAAATTTAAAAAAAAGGACACATCAATGCAACAAGAAGTTAACCCAATAACAATAAAATTTACCAAGAATATAAAAGTATGATGACTATTAGGCAATTTTATCAGATACAACTCGGAAAAAGGGCATAACCACCCCCTTTCAAATCTTTTCACTCAGATCATATATATTCAAAAATCTGTATCTCATTAACCCTTCCCAAGTTTTTTTGTCAAACACCCTTTTCAGTTGCATCAAATATACACACACACATATATATATCTGTCTCTTATACACATCTAGTTTATAGCTTTTGTCAATATATAGCATTAAATTAGCTTTCAGAAGTGTTTTAGATATATATTACAAGACAGATTAACTTAAAATGTGTTTTTCAAGTACCTCTTAATACCGAAAGTTAAAAAATATACAATATCACATTATCGTTTATAAATTAACTATAGGTAAAACACATATTTTACTCTAATAAACCGAAAGGTCCACTGATTAATCTCAGATAAGATAGTATAATATTGTAACCTTTGGTAATCAACTACATTTTCCACATACATAGAAATTTTTGAAACTTTATTAAAAAAAACCTAAACCATAATTCACCACACTATAGACACTTTTTGACAAAAATGAAAAATTACGACTTTGTTACTCAATGAGAGAAGTGTTCTAATATAGACAATGGGTCGTGTCTCATATTATTTGTTATAGTTTTATTGTTCATTATTTTCACTTGACTCGCATAAATAATTTTGTTCAAAGAATATTTATATGCAGTTGTACTTCGCAGCACTTCACTTGCAATTTGCAATTTCTAGTACTACAGAGTATTTTATGGATGACACTTCCAGTTTATTCTAGAACAATGTTTCGCAAACTTTTAGACTGACAACCAAGTTAGAAAATTTGAAATTGAGTTGCGACCGGGTCACCCACTGACCCCTTTGGCATAGATACATAAGTCGGGAAGAGCTAGACCTATATCCTGCTTATGTTATACAACACATGTTTCATTTTACCATTCCTGGTCTTACTATAACTTCTTTGTTTAATCTAACAGACTAGCTGACTTTGCATTTCTGTGAAGTTCATGATGGATTAAAATATTTTGGTGACCCACTGGTAGGTCGCAAGCCATAGTTTGCAGAATGTTCTAGAAAATAAGCTGATATCTTTGCATCTGAAAAGAATGGAGCTATATATAGTATGTAAGGCAAAACAAGATAAAAATAAATATGAGTAACTGAAAATGCATTGTTGGCATTATGTATATCTTACTGACACTTTCCATTGCATTATTAATGTTAGTAAATTATTTAGTTAACTTCCCTTTTGAATGGCGTGTCAAATGTATTATGTATTTACAAACGTTTTTATTATCTTATTTACATTTGTATAAAATGGAAGTAATACTTCCATTGTATACAATCAACCAAAGACATTTTGTGTTTGAGCTTCCTCTAAAACTGTTAGTAAGACTGATTAGGTCAACACAATATATCGCATGATGAATAAACATTATCAACTGGTATATTACATAACCTATACCTTCTGGAATATCCACCATAGTCAGGGGCAGATCCAGAGATGTCTGAAAAGTGGGGGGGGGAGGGGGCCCTGAAAGTGGGGTCGATCGAGATAACACTAACCTAGAGGGTCTGGGTGCATGCCCCTGCAAAATTTGTGTTCTAGACGCCCGAAAATTAGCTCTGAGGCATTTTCGGCGATCACATTTTTCTTTTTCTCTTTTCTTTCTTTTTTTTTTCCATCCAAAAGGGGGCCCTGGGGCCAGCCCCCGCCTAAATCTGCCCCTGATAATATTGAAACATTGCCCTACCATTGTTTATTATATTACATTCTTCTTTATACTAATGAGGACTAATTATTTAATGCTTACTATAGTGGTGGATCCAGGAGTTTGAAAGAGGGGGCCCAGGAAGAGACTTTCAGACGAAAGGTCAAGACCACTTCAGCCTAGCCATTGTAAGGGGCTGAGGTAAAAAAATTTATGATTATGGTACCTTGATATGGCTGCAAATATTCACTCTCTGACATAAACTTGAAACTGCCACTGGCTTAGATATAATTCTCCTGAAGACGGTTGAAGCAAGTCAACCGTCTCGTCAAGATATTCTCAAACAACAACAACAGTTCTTTTCAGAACTATCTACGTGGTGTACCGCAAGCATTAATTATATATTATACTTTGCCATGCAAATCTTCAAACAATATTTTGCCACTGGCTTATTGTTAAAATTTAATTAAATTTCTAATTAGTTTAATTTGTGTAAATTTTAATGTATTGTTAGGAAGTTAAGACTTAGTTTATTTTCTTCTGTGAATTTTAATGTGTTATAGGGTCCCTCGGACGAGCAGTGTTCATCAATGAGAGGGTTACCTTCTGAAAGAAAATAGAAATACAAATGAATGAGTGAATGAATGAATAAATGAATAAACAAATGAAATCTTCAGGATAATACGTACCCAGTAAAGCCTGCAGAATTCAGTCAAATCAAATTGTGTACAGGTCAATATGTAAAGAGAAATAATAAAACAAATGATGACATGAATAATAGTTAGACTTATACAGGCCTTATGACAACAAGGCCTCTAAGCACTTCACATTATTACCCCGGTCATTGTATCAAGCAAATTATGGGACAAATACTCAGAAGCTCCCTGGGAAGAATTCCATAATGTTGCAGCTGTAATCAGCATATTTTGTGGTTGAGTCTACAGGTACCCACTCCAAGTGCCTTGCCTAAGGACACAAGCGAAATGCAAAGCGAGGGATAGAACCTCCGACCTCAAGACAATTAGTAACATTCATAATGATCTATAGCTTGATGGTATAATAATAGCAGTAAACTACAAAAAATATTAACAATAATAAAAATAATAATAATAATAATAGCAACACCAACAGCAACAACAACAAAATATTGGTAATAATAAAATAATAACAATAATAAACAATACTGGTAATAATAATAATGATAATAATAAAATAGTATTTTACAAGAGAAATTTACATTTATAGTACTATCACTTAAAACAATTTTAAAACCTTTTTGTTTACCAATCGCTTTAATTTGGGTTAATTGTTCACTGCTTTTGAATTGTTATAAATTTCTGCATATTACTATTATTATCATTTGTGTGGGAATGGAACACACAACCTCCACATTTACTAAGCCAATTAAATTAGAATAGTAAAATTCATAGCTAATGGACTGATGTAAGAGGTTCCCCATAACTCAATTTAATATAAAACCTTCAAGCAAAATTAGATTAGTCTAACAAATGATAAGGCCCTTTCCCCCCACTCCACCCCCCTGGGAAATACAAAACAGTTTTAAGCATTGTGGGGTAATGGGCTATGTATCCTAGGCCCTTTACCCAGTCCCACTTATTTTAACAATCCAAAATATCTGGCTATCAATTCTTGAGTGAATACTTACCACCGGTAAAGACAAATACAGTGCCATAAATATATCGTTGACCTGCCTGAAAAGCCAGGGGTGTAGGAACATCAATGGCAGCATAGGTCCCATCATGAAGACACTGCCAAGGAAGGATGACAGAATGAGAAACAGCACATAAAACACACCAGCTGCTAAGCTCTGCTCTTTCATTTTGAGTTTAACTCAAGTTTTACCAGCAATAGGTATCAAAATCTATAAAATATAAAATGATAATGAAAGAAAAAAGATAGTAGTGATGCATAACAGTAAAAACTAGACAAAATTTTTACAATCTGAATTATGAATCTACCTAATTATTTTAGGACTAGGGCCTAGTATTAGGATAGTGGCACCCAACTTCAGAGGAAGAAGCCATCCTTGCTATAGAGAATTTACCGTTACAGTTGCCTGAATCTTTGGACATTGAGGGCTAGCTCATTTCATTTTCCCCTCCGCAGTCATCAATCAATGCAATTTCCTTGGAAACACATGGGCGGAATTGAGTAAGCCGGGATGGTGGCTTGTTCTCCTAGTCGGGGGGGCTAAGCCTAGCCTAGACCCAAGTGGACCTACTACTAGTACTACCATGCCTACTAATGAAACTAGCTAGGCCTAGGTCGTTATAGCTAGTAGTAGTATTCGGGCCTAGCCTCCCCTCTATAATATAAGCTAGCCCCTCATGTGAGTGACAGATGATCAGGCCCACGGGATGATCGGTGGGCCCAGGACGATCGGGCCCACGCCAAGACAATCAGGTCCACCTAGTGTTGACTATCAGGCCCACTTTCATTGTGATTCAATTTATTGTGTTCTAAATTTATTATTTTAACATAGGCCTACAGCTATTAAGAATCGTAATTAAAATGATCATATAGTTATTTTATATTTATTTTGGGAGTGACTATTCACCCGGCAGATGTCTATTACCATGTGAGAGTTTATTTACATAGTTACCAACCGTTTCGCATTTCAATGTGATTTTGGATGAAACACGCATTTTGCAGAAACACATGCGTGATCATAAATTTGTCACGCATTTAGCACAAGTCTATGCATGATAAGGAATTACTACAAATTCAATGAAAAATGTATTTAAAATGAGAAGAAACTGGTTTTATTAAAAATATAAAAACGGTCATGCAGTAACTTAAGTCATT